AGAGAGAGAGAATCATTTTTGGAGATGGACACAACACAATGCCTTTATTTTTATGTGGTGCTGAGAATCGAACCCGGGTATCACCCATGCTAAGCGAGCGCTCTACCACTGAGCCACAATCCCAGCCCTGCAGGGTATCTTTTGATTGTCTTTTTCCTTTCAGGAGAATTCTATTTTGATTCTGAGCTCTTCCTGACTCTGAAGACAGGTTGGCAGAACTGGGAGAATTTGTTTTGTGTAGCCATCCTGACTCTGCCAGCTCCTGAGGGTCTCTACCACTCTGCTCTACCCCAGCACGCTCCCTTAGAAACTCCAGCAGGATGTACTTGCTTATCCATTATCTTGGTCCTTTGTGGGAGGGGCAGGCATTGGGTTCCTCTACTCAGTCGTCTGGTTCTGCCTGCTTTTAAAATATGTTAAATTTATTTTAGTCTGTGTAAGGCATATAAATTCTCTGTGAAAGCCATTAATGTTCTGCAACACTGTGAATTTTCTCCTTCCAGGCAAATGATGGGGGTTGCACTTCATGACCTGTGAAGTGAGATGTGAGTCTATAACTTACTTTAGGAAATGAGAAGAGTTTGGAACTCATGCAAAGCACATGGTGAATCTGTAGAAATCAGTGTGTGTTATTTATCACATTCTCTTTCATTATCTGTGATTTTAGATAATGAAAACTCTATTACCTTAAATCCTGAAATGAGAATTCCTACTGTTTATAATATCACGAGAAGGATGTATAGTATGTGCATGAAATAAGTTTTTGATCATTCAAAACATGGAGATTTGGGGTTGTTTGCTTCAACAGCTCAAAGTAGCCTTTCTTGATGGATATATTCTTCAAGAAAAGAGCACAGTGAATTGTATATCGGAAGCACTTTATAACCAGAAGCTTTTCAAAGTATTAATGACACGCCAAAAGCAGCATAGTAAAGTAGTTAAGACTGTGATTTGGAGCTAGATGGCATGGGTTTAGAGCTTGATTCTGCTGACTACTAACCATGTGAGCTTGGGCAATTTACTTAAACTGCTAGGAATCAGTGTTCTTATAAAATATCATGATACCCACATCATAAGAGCATTATAAAAAATTAAATAAATTAACATTTGTCAAATGCTTCGAGGCATGCACAGTAAGTTCCCTTACTATTTATACAGGTAAAATATAGAAATAAATTGTATATGTAAAGTTTTTAGAAAAGGATCTAGCACAGAGTAATTCCATCAGGAATATTTATCATTATTACTAATATTTCAAATAAAAGCGATTGCTGGTTAGCAATCAAATACTTGGCTGATTATCATTTTTTTTTTCTGGGAAAGACTAATAGGGGTCAAGAAACTAAAAACAGGCAAGGGAGACCATATATTTTTTTCCTTCTGATTTGGGATAACAAAATTAGAGTCCAATCCGTTGGGCTTCACCTCTGGGAAGATGACTGGAATTCAGCTGTTGCTTTCTCTGTGTAATCAGACAGGAAGCAGAGAGCACTGGGGAATGCAGAAGACAAACTAAGGCATTTTCTTTACTTATCTCTATCACCCAGAGTAAAAGGAAATAGGCCACCTGTGACTGGAGCTGAACACTTCTGCCAGTGTGAGATAAGCAGCCCAGGGTGATTTCACACAGTCGAGCAAAGACACTTTTCTTGAAATCTCATGAAAGATTGGCCCTGGGATTTGTCAGGATGGTTTATTCATGAGCACCGTCTGATATACTCATTAAAAACACAAGATTTTCAGCATTTCATGGTGGTGTTGGGAGAGGAGAGCTTCTGAAGAACTCCAGGGAAGCTTCTGGGTTTTAAGCTGGTTTGTTGGGGGAGTCTTCTATATGCTTACATTTGCCCTCCCGGAGAGTCTAGTCCTAGAGTCCAGTTTGATGAACTGAAATACCACTGCCACCTTGTGGCACCATATCCAAATTACAGGCTCAATGTTCACACGTGATAAAATCATCAAAATTACAATTTTCAAATCACTACCCACAGTCATATTTAATTCTTAGTCACTACTGCCATTTTTTAAATTCGCAAATATATATTTTTGAATTTTATGGATTATCTGATGTAGAATCTATATTAATAACACCACGCAACGATGAAACCTCATACCATTTTTATTCATTCCCTCTCTTAAAAACTGAATTTGAAAATATGACTTTTCTTTTGATTCTATCCAAGTATAAACTCTCATAACATGTTATAAGTTTATAGGATAAAAGGATCCTTATGCACTTTTAACATGTTCAGTAGGTAGCTCTTCTGTCAAAGACCCTGTGAGAGGTAAAATCTTAAACAGATGTCAGATAGGAATAATTCATTTTACATATTATAATCTATAATTGACCAATAAGGAAGAGAACATAAAAAGAAATTTATATTCAGAAATGTTTCTTCTTTTGATTTCAGGAAATTCTGACTCTCAATCACATGTAAAAAAAGGTTCTTTCTTAAACAGTTGAATTGACATAGATTTAGCTTTGACAAACCCAAATTCTTCCTGCTTTACCTTCATCATGAGGCATGGTCACATGGAGCAAAACGGGAGCAGAAAAAAGTGCCGTCTTCTCAAATATAACTTGGATTTCCTAGTGGATATGGCATTGAGGCTTGTTTTATGAGGAGTCCATAAGAACCAAGCATAGAATAACATACCTTTGAAACTGGGCATCATTCCACTTAGCAAAAATGTGGTAACTCCACAACAAGATAGTTGGCAATGTTTAAGATGATTTACAACCAAAGAGTGTATGTTCTCCATAAATAATAAAATAAATGTTAACAAGGAAGATGCTCATAAATGAAGTAGATGAAAATTAATAGTAGATTCCATAGTCATCTTATTGGTGTCCTGCCAGCCTCTGTATAAAGTCTTGTTTGGGTGGATATTTGTAGCAATGCTTTTGAAAATTAAAAAAAAAAATAGAGGTAAAATTTAGATAACAAACCATTTAAAAGTGGACAACTCTGTTATTTAGCATATTTATGATGTTCTGCAACTACAATATCTACCTAGTTACAAATGATTTTCTTCATCTACAAAGGAAAATCTGTACCCATAAGTTACTTGGTGTAAAAATGTCTTGAAATGATAAGTACAGCGAATTTCAAGAGGTTTATAGAATATGACTCGAAAGTTTCAAAATCATGTTATCAAGTGTCAAAGACCTCCATATAAGGCTTTGTCTTGATTTGAAGGGTTTACATTTCTTCTAAAGGTTTTTCAGCTTAGCTGTCAATTGGGAAGATTTAATCAGGGTATTTAAAGAGTCTCACATGATATAATCAGAAAAGTAGTTGAACTATGGGACACTGATGAAAAGAATTCAATGGCACGTCATGGATGGTCACTGGCTTTGAAGACAGGTCGCATTCTTTGCAAACAGAAAAGCCAACAAAATAGGCGCAAGGAGTCTGTGGGTTTCTTTATATGCCGTTTTATTAGAAAATAATGGGGTTACTTATGCAAATAGGTGGGAAGATATGTAGACAGGCACGTCATGCCCACCAAGTTGAGGTATAAAAAGGTGCAAGCAGGAGGACATCTTCATTCACACTTGGGTAGCCTGTGCTTCCAACACCTCTCCAACACCTCTCCAGATCCCCCTCAAGGCCCATCATGACTCGCTATTTCTGCTGCGGAAACTACTTCCCAGGCTACCCTTGCTTTGGAACCAACTTCCACGGGACCTTCAGAGCCACGCCCCTCAACTGCGTCGTGCCTCTGGGTACCCCCATCAACCACTGCTACAGCTCCCGCAACCACTGCTTTGGAGGAGGCAACTACCAGAACCTGGGCTGTTGCTATGGTAGCAGCTATTACAGGCCTTGGGGCTCTGGCTCTGGTTTCGGCTACAGCACCTACTGATGGACCAGTGGCTCTGGCGACTACAGGATTCCCCCTCGGTTCTCTGCAAAGAACAAGCTGAAGAGCAATGACGGTCTTCCTGCCTCCAGATGCTCTGGAGAGATGCTGACTTCTTACTGCTGTCCTGCTCTTCTAGGAATCTTCACAAGTCACCCTGAACTCAAATTTCAAACTGGTACTCATCTACAGCCTGGGGAAGCAAGACATACCTGAAATTTGGCAGTTAAGCCAGTAGTTTGCCTCCCAGAGTTGCTCTGCTCATATATTAGTAATTTGGACATCAACTTTAATGTATTTGAAATTGGGTGTGGGTAGGAAGGAATTTTACTGTTAGTCTCCTAATAAATCTACTTCATTCAGCACACACATTTTTGTTCTGGTCATTTATTCTCCTGTGTTTTTGTGCTCTTGAATTCACCAATGAGTTTCAACTTTGGCTTTAACCAAATTCTATTCTGATTTCAGGCTGTACAACCAGGGTAGAATGATTGTTAACAAGTTTTTAAATATTGAGATTTTAGTTTAAACATTCCTTATGAATGTCCCAAATTTCATCCAAATATACCATAGTTTTGGCATCTCTCTATGCTGATTTCAAACTGGAACATATTTTTAGTTGCTGAAAGCTAAAAATTAACTTTCTTTCTTTTTTTTGGTAAGTGATACAATTCTATTTTGGTCTATTTTTCCTTTCCTACTGTTTACAATATCAGCTCTAGTGAGAGTCAAACTCACAGATTGTAGGAAAAATCATAACTAAATGGATCTAGGTATCAGATTCTATCTATAGGATCTCCTAAGATCTGGTCACTAAAGGGAAGTTAACTGCTAAAATCACATAGTATTTTTACCTCTTTTAATAGTTGGGATTTATTTCCCCTTCTTCCTCCTCCTCCTCCCCCTCCTCCTCCTCCTCCTCCTTCTCCTCTTTCTTTTTTTATTTTTATTTTTGTGGTGCTGGGATTAAACCCAGGGCCTTGTGCATTCAAGGCAAGCACTCTTCAAACTGAGATGTATCCCCAGCCCTTTCTTCCCACCTTCTTTATCTTGGATTATATGTATATCTAATGATAAAAATAAAGCTTTTATTTTTTGGAATGATATTTGCCATCAGAAGCACTTGAAATGATATATGGTCTGTACTTAGAAAATGCTTCCTGTCTTGCTTACAGAGTAACCTCTCCTTTCCTGAAGCAAGATATGTTTTGAATTAAAGCCCATTCATTCATGTGTCAAATATTTATTGTTCTGTTGCATCTGAGAAGATGCTCAATTAATTGTTCTTTGACTTGACTTGTTAAATCTCTGCCACATGGGGACAAAATATTATAAATTTTGCTTATTCATGAATCAAGAATTATTGGGCTCTGGTCACTGTGTTAAGAAATTTGAGGCTATGAAAACACATACACAGGTATAAGCTGGCCTGAGAAGCTGACTATCGTCAAGAGTGAACTCAATCTTTCAAAAATATATTTACCTCACTACATACTTATAACACCAAGCACCACCTAAGATCTGGACATGGAGATCAATAAAACATAGTCCTTGCCCTCAAGAGTTAAATACATTATATTTATCAAAAGATAAATATTTCTTACCCATGTGCTTTTCAGGACTCAAAGTAGGGAACAGTCTATGATCAGACAATGCATACACACACACACACACACACACACACACACACACACACTCAGACACACAGAGTAAATGTGTGTAGAAGGCATGTTTACCTATACAAATGTGACCATGGGAAGGGGTAAAGGTTGTATATAAAAAAAGACATGGCTATTCAAAAGGGTAGAAGAAGAGGAATATCTGAAGATGAAATTGGATATTATTGGCAAAGCTCCTACAGGTAGGTAGGGTGACATACTGGTGGGGAAATTCCAGGGGTTTTGAATACTGAATGGGTAGTTCAGGGGCTCTACCCAACCATGGTGTCTAGATTCTATTATCATGGCCAACATTTATCTTTTAAGTCCATATATGTTTTGTATTTCGTTAATTAATTTTTTAAAAAATATTTTTTTAGTTGTAGTTGGATAAAATACTTTTATTTTATTTATTTATTTTTATGTGGTACAGAGGATTGAACCCAGCACCTCGCATGTTTTTTAATATTTAGAGTTTCAAATTTACAACAAAACTACAATAATAGTGAGAAGAAATCCTGCATACTCAGACTTATTATTCTTTTACACTTTATACCATTTACTTTATCATGATATTATATACATACACATATAAAGTATATATGCAATACTATTTATACATATTTTTTCTCTTCATATATATACATACATGTATGCATTTATGTACATATAATGTATGTATATTATATATGTATAAAGCTACTGATGCCATTTACCCTAAGAACAAGGACAACATAATTATGAAAATTAGGAAATTTAATATGAATATAATACTGTTATCTAACCCTTAATGCATATTCAGATTTACTCAATTGTTACAACAGTGTCCCAGGAAGTTACTTTTTCCTGGTTCAGGGTCCAATCCAGTATTATGCATGTCTCTTTAGTGTTCTTCACACTGGATCAGTTTCTCAGCTGTTATATATCTTGACTTCAACTTAAAGTACAGACCAATAATTTTATAGAATTTCCCTTGGTTTGGGTTTATTCAACTTTTCCTATGATGAAATGCGTATGATGCATGTTTGGTAGAAATGCCATAGAAGTGAAACTGTCTTCAGTGCATCGTCTTATCAAGAGATACGTTATGTGGATTTATGTAAAGTTTCATCACCTGTGAAGCTGGTGTCTTTCAGGTTTTCTTTACTATAAAGTGACTATTTCCCCCTTTGTAATTGATAGTAGATTTGTGTGTAGACATGTTGATACTCTGCAAATATCTCTTATCAAGATTTTATGCACTAATTTTAGGACACATATATCATTTTTTCATCTTATAAATATGTATACATTTATTAGATGCAATTCTACAGTAAGAAATAATTGTATCTCCATTTATTTATTTATTTTTGATTACCTACTTGTTTCAATATTTATATCAGTATGATCTCATGGAATCTTACTTTATTCAATATGTTGTATTCCATTAATAATATTGTTAATTTTCAGGTTCAAATTGGTCGAGATTCGTTTTAGTGGGAACACTTCATGTTGGCTCATATGTCTTTTAGAAATGGCTCCATCACTATTTGACCATTTATTTCCTTTCTGGCTTAAGATGATATTCCAGAAATTCATCTTGAATTTTTCTGTTATAATTGTGGAATCAGTGATTTTACCCTGTAGACCTGGGTTCTTTAAGTGGAGGGTGAATTTATAAAATAAGATATGGGTATTAGCGGTATGCTCATTGCTATGATGTCCTGCTGTAGATCTACCTGGATATCCTATCATATGCTATACTATCATTGTTATGATTGATTTAAGAATGACACCATGAGCTCTATATATGGTTTCAAAATTCACGACAGGAAGGATTCACTTTAAGGTATGAGAGAGAATGACCTTCAGTCTGGAGGGGCTGGTTCCAAAGGCCCGTGAGTGGCAGAGCGTGAAATGCAGGCAATCACATAGGAGCCCTGATAACCCCATCCCCATTCCTCAAGTTGATTTTTACTTAACCACCTTATCTCTGTTTTAGCCCCAGTCCTAGCATTTTTTCTTAGTGTTCTGAGTCCAAATTTTCTTTGGGAAATTACAGGAAGATTGGCTTCCTCCTTGCTTGTAACTCCATCTTTTTGTGGTTTCTGGATTCTACTCCTTTCTGTTTTCCCTCCTTCTCCTTTCCATCATACGGAAATCTAGTCAATCATGCCTCAATTGATATCATCCTTACAATTCTGTCATTGTTGGCTTTAACTTCATTCATTCCTTTACCATAGTTCAAAGGGTTCTGGAAAAATAGAGGGGGAAAAACTTGTGGTCAGCCTTCCATCTTGAACCTAAAAAAATATAAATCCCTTAAAGAGGGACCAAAAAAGGGGGCTAAAAAAAGATAAAACAAACAACTTGTCTTTTCCTGTAGTAACTATGTGACAGATAAAGCAACAAACAATTTCACTACTTACGTAACATTTTTTTTTTGGAGGTACATTTTGATGCCCACTAAATCACTGAAGAGCAAACCAAAATTAAGTAGTTAGATAAATTGCTTGAGGCTGTATCATTCATTTTAAAGAAAAATGCCAACATATATACCAAGGAGATTCTGACTCCAAATCTGTTCTTCTACTTAAACCAAATTAGACGTGCCTTTTAGAGTTATAGAACTTTTCTCAAGAAATATCCCCTTTTAATGCTTCGTCTTATTCCATTAATAATTGTGTCTTGTATTCATATAGTTATTACAGTTTACAAAATATGTAAATATAATCTTATTATTTAATTCTAACAACTATCTTGGGAGTTTGATATCATGAGGAAATTGATGGACATTAAAAAGTTTATCCAAGTGGGCAAATATTCACCAAGTGGAAAACAGACTTGAGCCAGTAGTTCAAACTGAAGTCCTTTGATGCCTTCCATGGACACTGTTCTTCCACTAACAACAGGCAGAACATTAATTATGTGTCTGTAAATTTGATCCCAACGGAAGATAGCAAGATCCTTCAGTGTTTCCACAAGCTGGCCAATTCTTAATAATTCTTAGGCTCCATTTTTAATCTCAATACTAAGTTCTTGGATTTCCTTCCTTGCTCTCTCTATGAAATGGTGGCAGGTCTTTGTTGCTATTGTTTTTGCCTCAATTCACACCTTGATCATTTCTTGTATGGAGCATGCCACCAGCTGCCCACTTAGTATTCCTGGCACCATCTAATCCATCTTCCATACAATATACATAAGAATATTCAAAATGTAAATGTAAATAAAATCATGTAGCTTTCTTTCATAAATGCTTTGGTGATTTTTAAAATTCTTACAGTCTTCAGAAAAAAGATCAGTCAGGGGCCCACCTGTATACCAGCCTGCCATGTGCTCTTGTCTCATTTCCTACCTCTTGTAAACATGCCTTCCTTTCTCCCACAAGGGGGCCTGGCATAGTTCTACCCTTCTGCCCTTTTCTATCTAGTGAAGTCCTGCAGATCCTTCAAAATATCCTTCTTAACACCAGATAAGGCCCCTTGTTCTAATTTAGTTTACTGTTTCCTTTTTTTTATCATATTGTTCAAACTGTTCTGTTGCAACTTACTATCCAAGACCACAGGAATGTAACTACAGTCAAACCAAGTTGGATTTATTAATTAATTGCTGCGATGCAGATTTTGCAACATGGGAAACTGCTGAGTGCCTCAATAAGAGGGTAGTGAGAATCCTTGTTCCAAGATGTGAACCTGAGTTAGGTTTTCTGGAGAGGATTAAAGGAAGTAGAGG